TCATACGAAAGATCCCCTAATTTATATATAATTATATGTACAGACGATACTAAACTCAATTTACCCGCCTAAACTGTCCGTAGTGTGGCGCTGGATGGCGGAAAGTAGTTCAGCTGCCCGATGACGTTTTACGTAATTATAGGAGTTTTTTACCGTTGTTTACGGATACCGCCACAATTTTTTCGCTGTCGTATAGGAATCGTAATTATAGGAACCCGTCTTATAGGGGAATCTACTGTATTTTATTTTGTGTTATCCTGTACTAAGCTATTTAATTAATTTGTTAAGTTTTACTAATTTCAGATTTACATAATATGTAAAATATGATTATTATTATTTTATTGAGAGATACTAAGCTATCGTATTAATTTGATAAACTGTATTAACTTCATTTTTTATGTAATATTTTAACCCCTTGTAACAAACTAAGATACATACAATAAAGAATTGAATTGAAAGAATAAGATACATACAATAAAGAATTGAATTGAAAGAATACCAAAAACTAGTGTTTTGCTCTCATTCAAAAATTCTAATCACATTATAGTGATAGAGACCAAGCTGTCTTGTAATCTGGCTTCAGAAAGAATTTTAATATCATAGTTGTTTACCTCAATCTCTGTAATTATGAATATGTTAATCAACTTAGTTTTGAATATTTGGAACTAGTCAGTCACTAATTATCATAATCTGTACAATGCAAATTGGCAACACTGTGTTATCTTATTCTCATTGTCTTCATGAATTGCATTCATTGCATGTACTCAAAAACATTCAAGAATCAAACAAATTTAAATGAAGTTCTCAGTTCTTAAAAGTATTTGATGCTGCTGCTGATCAATTCCAACAAAGATCTTGTGTTGTATATCCCTTGTCGTGTGACCTTCATTTCTGAAAGGGTTCAAAATTATTCTCAGAATACAGTTTGTTCTGTAGTGGCTGTTATTCTTGGAAGTGAGTTTACATGTTTGACTATAAGTAGAATCTTAATTTTCCACTATTTCAGGTTATGTTCTTCATACTCTTCCATTTTCACATTGGACAGGTTTTGGCTTATAGAATAATTTTTAACATAGAAAATCATGCCATTCTGAAGAATTGTTGGTTTAGACATGTTATTATGTATATTATATTTCAAAAATATTGTTTGTAAAATTGATTAGTGTTGACTTTCTATGCCTCTTTTTATATTTTATCTCTGTAAATAAGCAATATTGATAAATTTTTCAATTCTTAATAACCTTTTAACTTTAATTAAATTCCCAGTCATCTTCAGAAATACATAGAAGAATTCAAAATAATAAGTTACAATAGTTAATGCTCTTTTATGATACTTTTGGATAAATTTCATTTTTTTTTGTTTTTAATATTATAAAATTCATTTTATTATTAGAATTATTGTTTGTGCTTTTAAAGGAAATTGCAAGGCAATAATTTATTAAAAGTTGTAATTTTCTGTTATTTTTATTTAGTGAAATAGAGTAAAAAACTCAATTAATTAGTATTAAATTTCAATATATAAATTGAAATAACTTTTTTATTTTAATAAACAGGTTTTTTTGATTAGTATTGGTATCAAATTTTAATTGGTTTTTTTCAATAGTAACAGATTTATATGCATTGTGTCTTTGAAATCACTTGCAAAACTATTTTTATAAATTAATATTAAAATCCATTTGAAAATATGTGAATATCTTCAAAAGAAATGGAAAATATAGAATGCTTGTATATAATATCTGTTAGAAATGTAAACAATTTTCTTTAATCTTTTATTATATAAATTATATAAGTTAAGAACATCATACTGATTAGCAATGAAATATATTTGTTAATAATAAATTTCAAGACTCTCATAAAATCCTTTTCTTTTCAGCTGTTATGTCTGATAATGATGATGTCACTCCAACAGACAGTGAAATACCCAACTCAGGATTGCCAATAGGCCCTCAACCAGGTGTTAATTATCCAATTCAAGTACTATATTGTGGAGGTGAGTTTATAGATAAACTGTATTAAACAAATCCATTTTAATATTAACTTTAATTTTATAACAAATTGTTCTTGTATTTCAGAATGCACTATGCCATTAGAGGTAAACTTTTCTCTTTTTAATTCCTTTTTAAATTCAATTCAATTATTAAATTATTAAATTATTTTCAGTATTGTGAATATTATCCTGGATATGAAAAATGTAAATTATGGCTTCAAAAAAATCTTCCAGATGAATTTGAAAGGAGACTTAAACTTGGTGAATATAATATAATATATATATATATTTTTTTTTTGTTCTTTAATTAAACACAAGTATTTTAAGATATGATTAATTTGTGATTAGAAGGCCAACCAACAACTGGTTCTGGTGAAGAGGAAAAGAAAAGACAAAAAAGGGGTGGAAAGGGAGTAGTAAAAACAAAAAAGAAAGTAGAAAAGGAAAAGAAAGTTTGCATGTTTCGATCATCCCGTGGTAAAAAGAAATTTGTAACTGTAGTCACGGGCCTTAAGACATTTGGTAAGTTTTTTAAAGTTTCTTTTATGCTTGATGGATATTCAAGTCAATCTGGGACTTTTCTCAATAAAGAAATTCAATTGCATCATTGTTTTACAAATGATTTTACCTGCAGCAAAAAGATCTCCATCCTCCTTGGCTGACTCTTTTGATGAATTAAACAAATGAAAAAATTATTAGAACAAAATCACTTTGTGTAAAACTTTATAACAATGCCATATACCGCATGAAAAGATGTGTCTGGAGCAAAGCACATTTTTTTTCTCTTTGACTGAATGAACAGCACTATAATGCATGCAAAATATGTTGAGAACCTCTTTCATAATGTTTCTGTAGTAGGTCAATAGTCATAATTGATTGTTGATTTAATTAGCTATGACTATTGATCTGTGAAATAAAATCCATATGGGTAAGAATGGTATCTTTCAATTCCAAAATATGCATTGTGTTTTGTTCAAAGAAATTTTCTCAAAAGAAAGTTATTAAATGTGCTTTTACTATTTGTTTGCCATTTCAAAAAATTGTAGTCCTATAAATTCCCACTGCTGTCTGACTGCTTGCCTATCTGACTGTCTGTCCTTCCTTAATCTTGAGAATAGAGTTAGTTAAATGAAAGTAGGGACTAGATACTGAAAGCTTAGGATAGGAGGCCCAATTAACTATATGGGAACTTCCAGTTTGCACTAGAAGCCATGTTATTTCAATTCAAAAATTTTCCTCTGAAATGAGTTAAATGGATGACTGGCACAACAACCTTTCCAACATGACTCTATTGCTAATGGAAAAAGTATGATGTACAGGGGCAAGACACTACTAATTTGAGGTGGAGATTATATATTTTAAATTAAATAAATTAAAAATTGCTTGTTTGACATTGTGACCAATGTCACAGTAAATAATTGCTTGTTCTTATATATACCATATTTTACAGACTATAAGACGCACTTTTTTCTTTGAAAAATTGCCTCCAAAATTCAGGTGCGTCTTATACTCGAAATTAATAATATAAAAATGTCCAGTGTTTGATTTTAAAATTCCCACATCTTAAAAAGGGCCATATATTTGATGCCGCGGGGAAACCTATCTCTATCTGGCAACATTGAATTCAACTGGCAGCAGCAGTGCACCAATGCGACGAACATGAGTTGCGGGGTGTTGGGATAGAATCGTCTGGATGTATGATTCCTATGCTTTTTCTCTTTTCAAACAAGCAATGGTTGTCATCATAGAAACTCGAGATGACTGATGGTTCTGAATCTACGACCGTGGATTAGCCAGTGATCATCATGTGACCATTGTACAATCATTGTGATCATCATGTGACCATTGTTCAATAGCGCTACTAAGTGTTGATTGATGGATCAGCGTTTGCTTCAATGCATATAAAAGGATTGAATTTAGGTGGTAAAAATGGTAAAAATATTATTTTTTTAAAAAAAAATTGCTTAAAAATTAAGGTGCGTCTTATAGTCCATAATGTCTTATAGTCTGTAAAATACGGTAAAAATGAATGTTTCATATATATAATTATTAAGTCCAGAAAAGTTGACTTTACTGAAAATACTATTTACACATTCGCAAGGAATTCAGCCTTCAATGGAAAATACTATTATTTTGGCATCAAATGTACAAAATCATATTCCAGAAATGCAATAATCAATCTAGAAATTCATGAACATCTTGTATTGTAAGTTATCAGATAAAACGAATATTGTTCATAAAGCACATAAGTTAAACAACTATTCAATATTGTAGCATTTACAAAATTGTAATCTAAACTTATATCTATACTAATATATAGAGCAACAATGTTTGTTTGCTAGAAGTAATCTCAGAACCTACAGAACTGATTTTTAAAATTCTTTCTCTATCAGAAAGCTTATTCCTTTCAGATGGACATAGACTTATATTATTTTCATATTAAGAAAGGAAAATGCATGAAAATGATGTTTTTACTGTGGCATTTCTCTTGCATCATGTGTCTGCTCCATTCAAGGTCAATTTCTTTCACTATCTAGTGGGCCTTTGTAAACTTATTATTCCTATTATCTTATTTTTTTGGTTTTGGTTTTGATTTGTGCAGTCTGGGTAGTTGTATATATGCTTTGTTTATATTGTCTTGGTCATTTATTTCAGATGATGATAATCTTATGTTATCAGAAATTATAAAGAGTGTATTTACTTCCTCTATATGAAACTAGACTTTTGTAAGTAGGCCTATATTATGTCTACTTACAAAAGTAATATTATTATGTAGTAATATTTTTTTGCATTTGTTGTTTTAGTATTAATCCTACCATATCATTATTGAGATTAGTCCACATGTCTGAATGAACCTTATTGAGGATAAAATGCCTAATAGAGTCACAGTAATTGCATGTTGCAAAATACAACTATTCTAAACCAGGATGCAAACATAGATGCTGCAAACGTTTCTCTGGTACCCTATGGAAAACATGAACTACCATAAAACTTGGACCCTTAACTCCTTTCTGATTTCATCCCATACCACCAAACTACCAAACCTTTTGAGCAATCTGGACAAATTTTGAACAGTTATCTCTACAATCTTGCAAAAATATATGCTACTTTAAAACTCAGACCTCGTTCCTTCTCAATTTCATTCCTCACAAATTGCCAAATTCTTTGACTGATTTGCACCAAATTTTGCATAGTTATTCTTTGCCACCCTGAGAGAAACATACAATATCTATCTTCTAACAAGGACAATTCAACTTCCTCCTGAGTTCCTGGGCAACACTTAGCACTCTTTGCTAGTAAGTTGATATACAGGTAAAAGATTGCAGTTTATTTTTATAAAATAGCTTCATCATTAGATAGCTTCATCATTAGCTTCAGCAATAGCTTCATCATTAGATAGGCAAATGGGTATCATCCATAAGTTATGTAATGCTATTATACTTTTCATAGCAATATGAACTATTGACAAATAAAACCACCACTAAACTTAGTGATATTGCCAGGCAGGGGAAAGGAATCCTTGACTCTGTTGTTTAAACATACAGGTAACCCCCGTATAACACGGTAGTTACGTTCCAAAAAATTGCCGTGTTATGTGAATCAAAGAACTAGTATGAAAAGGAGGGTTAGGTTCCAAAAATTAAAAAAACATGCTACTATATTTTCATAATTAAGATAAATATCTTTATTAAAATTTTCTTAAGTGATACATATTAATATAAATTAAACAATGTTTTCTTCGTCATCACTAAAAGCACTATTAATCGAGAGCGTTTTATTTTTGGCAAGTTATCGTTATCCTCTGAGCATTTTTCTGCATTATTTTCAGATTCATGCTTTACCTTTTGCAAAAAGTGTATGTAATTTTAGATTGCTTGCTTCTAGTTAAAAGATCTTTATAAATTTCCTTATATGGTGCTAAGCACTTATGGAATAAGGGAAAAACATCTGGCAACACCAGAAGCAGAAGCGTCGAGATCTGGCAAAATTGAAACAATTTTCGCGAAGGACCATGTGTATGGAGACGAGAAAAGAAAATTTACACACTGAAGTACTAATAGTTCACGAAAATAATAATTTTCGTGAACTATTAGTACTTAAGTATGTAAAATTTTATTACATTTCATGTTGTACGAGGGTTTTACCCATTTCTCGAACCGTGTCAGAGTGAATCCGTGCTATAAAAGTACCGTGTTATACGGGGGATGGTACCAATTCTCGAACCGTGTTAGAGTGAATCCGTGCTATAGAAGTGCCGTGTTATACGGGGGTTACCTGTATATTGGTAACTATTCATATTTTCTATGTGGGGAGGGTGATAGACAGTTCTGAGAAATTGAGCAAATGAAGATAAGAACAATATCAAAAAGACAGGATCTAAAAGTTTTATGTTCAGTAAGCTTCTGATTAAGTGATCTTGTTAGGTAAATATATCTGACGTGTATACCACAGCCAGGTTAAAGATGTATTACTTACTTCATTACATTAACTACAGTGGCTAGTTCTACTTTGAAAGCATGAATTTCTACCAGCTTTGTTGTCCACATTTAGAAACTTTTTGATTATTCATTGGGCTGCAATTTTAAAAACTAGAGCTATAAATTTCCACTGTCATCTGTCTTTCCTTAATCTAGAGAACAGAGTTAGATAGATAAAAGACGAGATCAGATATGGAAACCTTAGGGACAGGACACCCCAATTAACTATATACAAACTTCCGATACAAACCCAAAGTCATGTTGTTGATATTTCAATTCAAAAATTTTTCCCTAAAAGGTGTTAGATGGCAAGATTCTATTGTTAATGGAAAAGTATGATCTATACAGGGGCAAGCCACTACTAATAATTTGAGGTGGAAAGAGCATATATTTTAAATAAAATAAATTAAAAATATGATTAAAAATTGCAGCATGGTATTGTGACATCATCACAATAAGTAATTGCTCTTTGTGTGTATATTTGCACAAAATAATGAGTATAATTGATTTTAATATATTGCAAGATTTAATTTGTATGCATGTTTAGATTCTTAGTACAAATAACATCCTTTGAACAACTTGCAGAGCAATAATATCTAAGTCCTACTTTCACTTGAATGTCCAAAATATATATATTATTCAATTACTAGAAATTTAATTTCATAACTTTTTCATTTTAGATGTTGATTTGAAAGATGCTAGCAAATTTTTCTCTCACAAGTTTTCCTGTGGATCATCTGTTACTGGTGATGATGAAATTGTAATTCAAGGAGATGTTAAAGATGACCTTCTTGATATAATAACTGAGCAATGGCCAGAGGTAATAATTATATTACTTTTATTGTGTAGTATACTTTCAAGACAGCTTATATATAATTGAAAGTTTATCTTCAATTTAATACAAGACTGTTCAATATATTGTAGACACAAGGCTCTTAATATAATACTGAAACAATATCAATTTTAAATACTCTGCTTGTGAAGAGTTATGGCAGTGACACTGTGCCAAGTGAAAAAGTCACTGACTGACTATATATGTACAAGAATCAGACTTGCCAATTTTTGGGGGTCAATTTCTTTGTCTCAAACATCTACAGTAAGTCTGAATATCTAGTTTGAAAAATACTTGTTTTCTTAATATGAAAAATGTTAGTTTTTCTATAAAGGGGTTGCCAAAAGCTCACAACTTGAGCCTCTCTCATTATCAGCAAGGTACTGGCAAAACTTCTGGGTCGATAGGTCAAAGTTTATGGAGTTTTTACTTAGCTATTTTACTTTTATCCCTTAATTTTGTGTTTTGTAAGGATAAGATTGAATCAAAATGAATGATTTTTCAGAATTTTATCCAGAAAAACAAAACCTCTAATTTATCCCAATTGAAACTTTCTATAACAATTTTACTAAATGACGTATTGAAAGCATTCAGTCAGTGGCTATCGTCGAGCACCTACCAAATTGCATGTCATTGCTTGTCTTAAGGTCTTGATGTAATAACACAATCATTAACCAAAAATCATTCAATATCTAAACAAAAAAACACCGTCTGAGATGTAAAAAATTATAACAATTTTTTCTTAGGTATTTTTGTTTGGTAAAGACAAGTTTGGCACTTTGAAGCAAAATGTAAAAAACATTAATACAGGTAAAAATCTTGTGGAAACACTAAGTTTATTTTTACCAAAGAAAAAAATTTGACTCAATTTTTTTAGTGTGTGCAATTTTTTTATATTACGTATCAGTAATGTAAAAAAAGTCGTCTCGTGTGTGTGTGTGTGTGTGTGTGTGTGTATACCTTATAACTCCTGCAATTTTTGCCCAATCCAGATGAAATTATGATTATATTCATTTTATGTTCTGATGGAAAGTATAGGCTACTTATTTTTGTGGTTATATTATCAATAGAATAAATGTTTATCGATTTTGGATTGGTGATCAGACTTACGTTGCAGTGATGTAAGTGACCACATGACTTGCTTGATGGGAGAATTTCTAGTCTCGGATGTTTTGTTAATGTTGTGTATTTGTAATACAGTAATACAATCCTAAGTGAATTTATCATAATTAACATTATTAACCAAACTCTGTTTGACCATATACAACTTTTGTATATGGTCATTTGAATTCTACAATTGATATACAACTTCTAAAATTAATTTTTTTCAGGTAAATAGGTAAAGCTTTTCACACTGTCAGTTTTAACATGTGATTTGTGATTGCATGATATCGATATTTAAATGTTATAATAATAATTTAACAAAACCCAAATTTCTGCTATTATGTTGACTAAATCAGTATAGAGTCCCAGAGCAATTTCTCATTAAGCAGATTCTACTACATGCAATGATGTGCCATCATCATCATTGTATATACTGTACTTGTATCCCATAAATACAAAATTAATGTAACTCTAGTCTAAGCAATTATAAATCCTGTGAACATGTTTTTCATTTAGATTAAATTAATTTAATCAAAAAATTAATTAAGTTAATTAAACCTATAACATCTGTATTGTATGCTTCTTGAACCTTTGATAAAATTTTATAATATAGAATTTCTTTTGAATTTTTTGCTTCAAAAAATAAGTTCGATTGATAGTATAAGAAACTTTGGAGTTCAGTACAATCAAAACTTTAAATAGAAATATCTACACCAGCATTTCTCAATGGGGGCGATATCGCCCCCATGTGGGCCTTTTTACATGTTGAGGGGCAATTAGTAACAATTTATATTTTGGGGGCGAAAAACAATTTTCTGGGCGATATAGTAAAACATTATATTAAGAATAATTAGATATTTTATGTTACATTGTACAATAATTAAACAAATAACATTATACTAGTCATTAGTCCAGGCATGGCCAACATACGGCCCATCTAATGAATTTATGTGGCCCGTGATTAATCTTTCAATATTAGCTACTTAAGTCCGAATATCTCGACAAAAAATTCTGACACTTAAAAATAAAAAGTCAACAAGTAACTGTGCACGCTCCATTACAAATGTCTTCAGCACAGCGTAGTATGTTGATAATGCATGATAATGTGAAAAATGTATGTGTAATCTCTATGTACAATTTAGTCTCTATGGGGTGACATAACAATGAGATCTCGCATCACCTCAAAATCTTGTTAGGGCAGCTCAACTGAATAAAGTGGATAAACGCCAAGTGTTTTAATAATAACACAGTCTTGTGTTCAATAGTAAATAAATACGAAAACACGGTTTCAAAAAACGAATGTATATTTAGTATGGTTTTTTTTTTTTTTAATTGAAAGTTGAAAATTATTAAATTTGGAGAATGAAATGTAAGCTAACTTGTGTACTTTTAACTTTGTGAGCTCCAACTAGGTCACTAAATAAGTGAAGTACATCAAATCAAAAGGTGATTATATTGTAAGTTATGACATGCTGAAAGTATGATTTAAAAAAATTTCGGTGGAAACTCGCCTAGAAAACTAGCCTCGCTTTGTGCCTGCGACATTGCATTCTCGACTATGGCTGTACAGCAAGTTGAAGCAAATCCGATCGTAAACATTTGCGGGATATTGAATGGCGTAGAGCTTCCAGCTCTTTCAAGATCTGGACAGAGCTGGAAGATATTAAAGCAAAATTAATTGACATAAATATGCATCATCAACAATAACAACTTTCATAAATGAAACTTAAAATTGTTTAAGTAAAATATATGATTATATTATTTTTTTAAAAATACTAAATTTGATATTTTAAATTGATAATTTACATTGATTATTAATAATTATAACAAAAAAGGTAAAATTGTGTTTTAAAATGTTATAAAAAGTTTTCAAAATTTATATAATAATTCCTTCAGTTACTTTAAATTACTGTTTAAATTAAATTACTTAAAAAACATTTTTTTTTTCTTTTGCAATATGTGATAATGTTTTAAAAATAATGTAAATTAAGCATGCAGTTGAACTTAGTGTCATCTGTGATGTACTTGATGCCATATTTTTAACAAGTAAATACAGAGGAAAGTAAAGTGGGTGATCAGTTAACAAACGTAATCCATTCCAAGATAGTGTTTGCTACCCGAATTCTGGAGGCCCACCAGTGGCCGAGCAGTCTTTGTACCCTGAACACTGGGAGTTCGGTCGTGGATTGGCCACATGGAGTTTTCCGGGTTTTCTCCATGTCTGTAATGCCTAAATAGGGACAAGTTTCCCTTAAAAAGGTCTCCCAAAAGGCATCCCCCCTAGGCAGATCGTCCAAGTGTTGCATTGCCATAACTAAACTAAACAAGCTAGCTGAATTGTTCCTTAACCGATTATCAATTTACCATAGATTTTTATGGAATTTGATTAATTCATTCTGGAGACCACAAAAATTTAAAAAATATATATATACTTTCTTACTATGTTTATTTATATATAATAATAAAAATACCGATATACACCGTGTTGCATTTTTATCAGTCATGTTTTTTTTTTTTTTTTGCTTGAAATGGTTAAAGAATCTGTCTTAATTTCGATTGCTTTACTCTCTTATTCGGGATTTTTCGTAAGTAGTTAATAGCATTGAAATTATAGAAATCATCAAGCCTCAACCTGCTTTGGATGCCATTCTAAGACCGTTGTTCTGACATCCTCCCACTTTTTCAAAGGATCTTTAATAACAGATATCGGCATTAATCCTGTTTTTCAGAAGAAAACATATCTCGCTGAGTTTCTTGGTATTATTCATTCAAGAGTTCTTGTTGTTCTTCTGTCGTCAGGTTTCCGTTTCGGGTTCCATTACGAACTCTTCGATGTTCTTTATTTCTCAGATGTGATTTTTGTTACTCTTTTAGCCGCTCGAGTCTTCTTGATTATACAGTATTTTTCTTAAATAAGAGTAAACTGCGGCCTACTGTAGACCTGTTCACGCCGTACTGCCCAGCAACATTAGGCATCTTCTGCTCACTCTCCACCTTTGCTATTATACTCTCACCTTTCGAAAAGAAAAACAAACGCAAAACTTAACGAGTTCCTTCCCGACATTCTCGCGAATACATAAAAGAATTGTTTTGTCAGAAAAATAAAAGGCTCGAGTTACAACGGAGAGTTTCAAAGTTTTATTTATTCTAAGATACTTTTAAGTTTGTCGAAAAGAGCATTACAACGATAAAATCAGATTTTGAATTAAGAGTTTTAAATATTACAAAGAAAACATAAGTATGAAATCATCTCCTGTTTCTTCTCTGTGCATTTTAACTCGATTAGTAGGTAGTGTATATCTTTAAAGGCTGTTTCAATACAATTTGTTCACTCGAACATATGTTTCAGCGATTAGTGAGATGCCCACGAAAGAAATTTTATGTTTTTTTTTGAAAAATGACAATACCCAAGAACACTGCACGGTGCCAAAAGAAGCAGTTGTTTCATTGCGAAGCTGTAACTAACTACGATGTTCGGTAATTGTCCCCCTAATGTGTCTTATAATGTAAGAGAAAACTGTAGTATTTCTCGGAAGTCACATTATTTCAGTTCAAAAATTTTCTCTGAAAAGAGGTCAATAAATATGGGGCACGACTAGATTGCTAAAGGAAATTGTACAGCAGCAACTCTACTAATTTCAAGGTAGAAAGTGTATATTTTACATTAAATAAATAAAAAAATATGATAAAATTTGCAGCCTCGCATTATGGCAATGTTAAAATAAACATTTTCTCCTCAAACCTAAATTATTTTTATTTGTTCTTTACGAATGCATTAGCAGAAACATAATTACTATCACTTCGTAAACTATCAATATTACGTTTTAACAGGACGCCGACATAGTTGATCAGCAACAGATTATTACTGCTAATATAAGTGATGTTGTAGAGTTTACTCCAATTAACATATTTTTACCTTTACATTTCGTCATTAAAAACAAGAATTCAGAACTTTCCTGGAAATCACTAATTTCTCCTTTCTCTTTTTGGGTAAGTAACGCTTAAATATTTAATTGATACAAAATTTTAAATGTTATTTCAAACACAGAAAAACCTTTCATATAAAGGTGTGGCTGGTGATTTTCGTCTGTACTTTGGTGGCTGGAATACTCATATTTATAATACTCAGTTATGACAAATCACCACAAGACAATTACAAGGGTTGGAATAAAAAAATATTCGTTTGGTTTCTGTTCGGAAGTTNCAGAACCTTGGGTTGTTTTCGGTGTCGATCTGGTCCTACGCTGGAGGGGCCCCGTGACTGCGTCGAGTGAGAAGTTCGAGATCTGAAGTGACAGCACACAAAAGATGAAAGGAAACACGACAGCTGTCGACAAACGAACACAACAGGTAGTCTAGGTGGAAAAGTCTTAGTGGAAGTTTCGTTGTCCTTGATTTTTGCGTTTTTATAGGGTTTTTGCGATCGGCTTCTTGTCAATTGGATAGTTCTTACATCACCGTTTTCCAATTGCTCATACACCTGTCTCCAGGTGTAAATGGAGCTTCGTTAAGTTCGTGGAAAAGGTCGGCTGGAGATGGTTTATCCGACACCATCTTTTCGAATCTGATCGCGTTTAATTGTTGACTATGACACCTTCGCTCATCTAGACATTTTTTTTTATCTCTAGTTTCGTTTTGCTTTCTAAATTACGTCTTAACTTTTAATATTTTAAATTTTCTTCTTTTATATCTAAAATTTGGTTTTTCCGTCTACTTTTGATGAGCGTCGACGTCAAAGTCGGGTGTCGCCGATTCGACACTTATGTTAAATCGTCAGGAAAGCAAATTATAACAAATTTTTACATAGCCCCTCCCCAAAAAGGGAAGATATTTCCAGGGCTTCACAAAATTAGAATTCTTTAGAAGTTATTTGCTTTAAAATAACAGGATTTTAAGCACTTAATTGACCAGAAGAATTCTGCTGGGATGCCAAAATACCCAACTGTCACTAAAGTAGTCAAAAGGTTGGTGGCTCTCAGTCATGGCAAATGCAGATGTTGAGAGTTCTCCATTTCTAGATGGATTCTGACAGAAGACAGAGCAGTGCCACTGAATGATGTCAGAATGATGAATTTATTGTTGATAGTAAAAGATGGACTCCATGTATACAATAATGATGCCTTTTTGGTGCCAATGACAAAGAAGTTACTTGGGTTAGCCCACAATGCAAATGCTATATACAAGGCCTTTTTGTACAAGTCAAGTAAACTGAAAGAAGTAAAGAAAAAAAACGAGGAGAAAGGGAGAGAAAAGAAGAGGATAAAATAAAAGCACTTGAACAGGAGAGCAAGAAAATTGATACTCTTGAAGTTGAGCTGAAGGGAAAAAAAGAAGAAATGCAAAGGAAAATGAGGTCTAGAATTTTTTAAGCCACTAATACACTACGAAACACTGTTGAGAAAAGCAATGTTGAAGAAATACGTCTTGCCTAAGAGCTATTAGAAGGTGCAAAGAAAATTCAGTGTGATGAAGAGAAGTGTAGAAACTACAGCATGACGTAATTAAAAAATTTTTTAAACAAAAAGTCTTTTTTAAACAAGAAATCAAAAAATGTACCTTGAAATAAATGGCATTTGAAATTTGGCATGTTATATGGAGACACATTCTGGTAGTTAGGAAATGGAAGAGTAACATTTGTTGTAAAATGGTGGGAACTCCGTACAGGGCACATGAAAACTTAATGTGAGTCTGTTCTGTCTTAATGCAGTCTTACTGGTCAGTTTTCTGGAGTATAAACTCAGGCTATTTTCATATTTGATTATTAAGTGGACTGAAAAAATTAATATATGCAATGTGCATGTGTTTTTTTTTAATAATGCCTCTTAGTGTTAGTCTTAGTGTGAATTTTCACTGTGATGATTGCTTTAAGCCCTGTAAATTGAAGGACATTATTTTTTACTCTCACTGACATGCTGGTAAATTTGACTCAAACTAATTTGCCAATAGTTTTATTCATAAATCAGAAATTTTTACTGCCTCCTAAGAAAATGATTTATATATTTTGCAGTTTATGAATTATTCAGCAAGCTGATTGTTTTTAATCCAATATCATATATTTAAAATCTTGTTTAAATTTACATTTTCACTGTTAGATCAGTAATATATAAAATTTTAAGAAATTCAGGCTTTCCAAAACATTGAAAGAATCATGTTTAGAATTTTTATTTGTAATATACATAGTTTATACAGTAATTGTTAATTAACTTAAATATTTTTTTTCAGATTGACGAAGATGCTGTAGATGACTTGGGCGATCAATCACGATAATGTAGATGACTTTATTTGTACAGATTTCTGGCAGATGATTTGAAAACAAATTATTAAACAGACATGAAAAAAATGCTTTGATATTCTTATTTGCAAATAAACATTTCTATAAAATTTTTTACAAAACAAGTTCCATTTGCTTAATATCTGAAAGCAATTTAGAGGCATATTCTTGACAGTTAACAGGTGTTGCTTGCATCACTGTTGTTTTTAATCTTGTTTCTTCCTATAATCATTTACACAATTTAGAAATTTTGAAAGCTATAAATATATGGATTCAGATTGTTTAAACATACTTACGTTAAAAGTTTCCAATTTTGTACGCAGACGAAAAATGAATGACTTAAAATTTGCATCTATTAGCACTTCCTTAAATTTTTCTTCATCCTGCAACAAATAACATTTATCTAAAATTTTGTTATTAACTTCTAACTTCTGTTTAAAAATTTAATGTTCAGCCTTCATAAATTCTTTTGCCCTTACATGCTCAATATCAGCAGTATTAAATTATTATTTTCCCAAAAAAATTCCTGAACTATTAAAATAAGGTCATAATAATGATTAAACAGAGATAATGGTTTGAGCTTTAACTGGAGAGAAATGACTATTTTATGGCATGTCAATTCCTTAGACAAAGCAAATTTTCTGGATCAACCACTGAGAGGAATCTTTTATATAATAGATATTTCTAAAATATTTAATTTCATAATTAATGTAACAAATATAAATTTTCTGTACTAATGATAAACATGTTTGAACCATACTAATTATTTCCAAAATTTTCTTACTGTAACATGAATTATTTTTTTTGTTCCCGAAAGAATAAGCCAGTTCAACAAAAATCAACTGAGAACTGAACAGAACAAAATTAGATTGAAAACATATCAATAGTTTAGGTTATCTCCAGGTTACAAATTCTTGACATAATTTCCATCTATTTATTACAATTGAAATAATTTGAATAATCATCTATTTTTGTGTCTATTATATTTAAATCAAATCTTGTAATTAATACAGGTCGTAATTAATCTGACACAAAGTTATTACAAAAGCAGTTCAAATCTTATCAGAAAATATACACTTACTGTTTCTTTTAAAGTGCCCAATTCTTCAGATGTAATTCCAAGCATCTTTTCTGCTACATCTTGGAAACAAGTTACCCATTGATTTTCTGAAAAATCAGCAAGACTAACCTGCAAATAAGTAGATGATTAAATAAGTAGTAACTGTTTCACTTTTACTCGTAATCATCATTATAAATATCATAATTGCAATTAATGTTTATGAACGTCTCAATCTTCAGCACAGTCTAATTTAAATTCCTTGACACACAAGAAAAGAAATTAGTCTAAATTAATTAGGTTTTTCACTATTCATAATTACTAGTATTAAGTAAATTATTGGGTTGTTCAGAAAGTAAGTTTGTTTTTTTCCGTGGAAAGAAAACAATATTTTTATAATAAATATTTTATTGAATTATATATAGACTATTTTGGTCAAATATCTGTTGTCATCGTTTCTGCTAGTAGCATGATTTTACATTCATAAAAGTTTTAATTGTTGCTTACAAAAAACTGATCCAAGTGATTTTTGACACTGTCATTTCAAGTAAATGTCTTAGTTTAAAAAAATTTGTATAGACCAGAACAAGTTATAATCCGAGTGTGCTCGATCTGGTGAATATGGTTGGTATGATAGCATGTCCCATCTAAGTTGGTAACTCCTCAGAAACTGTTATAAACTTGTGTAAAATTTGACATTATCGTGGTAAAACATAACACTTGTTTTATTGATCAATTCTGCCTGCCTTTTTTGTTTGATGATATTACTCAGTTCGTTTACTCAATGGCAGTACACTTTTGAATTGATTGTTAAATTGTCTAGTAAAAGCTCCAAAAAAATTTTCCTTAAAATCCCACCAAAGAGAGCATCTCTCTCTAACATGTGGAATCCATATATCAAGCTTTGAAACGAAACCAATTTGTTTCAAGTAATCACAAACAGTTCAATTTGACAACACATGAAATCACTAAGGGATTAAATTTGTTATTTGGCAGTTTGCTTCAATCAGTACCTTTATTTTGTTTTCATTGGCTTCAACTGGCCATCCAGAACGTGGTGCATCTTCAATATTGAAATTGCCAGAACAAAATTTTGTAAACCAGTTTTGGCACTGTCGTTCTGTCAATACATCTTCTCCATAAATGTCACACAATTTTTTCTCGCTTGAAAAACATTCTTACCTTTTCGGTAATAAAAGAGCAAAATATGCCGAAAACACTGCTTTCGATCTTCCATATTTGATGGGACACAAAAAATAAACAAAATTTTTTACAAATAAGCCTTAAAATGCTAGCTTCAAAATATATAATGATAATAAGGTTTAGAATGAAAATGGCGGGAAAAATACGACTAATCCATCTAGTGGTAAAAGAAAAACGAACTTACTTTCCAAAGAACCTAATACAACTTAAGACAGACAACAATAAAAATTTAATGTATAAATATATAATGTANCAAAATATATAATGATAATAAGGTTTAGAATGAAAATGGCGGGAAAAATACGACTAATCCATCTAGTGGTAAAAGAAAAACGAACTTACTTTCCAAAGAACCTAATACAACTTAAGACAGACAACAATAAAAATTTAATGTATAATAATGTATAAATACAACAAAATCATTATTCTGAAATAAATTCCATTTTTTCAGAATTTTGAAAAAATAACACAATATTTCAAAAAAATGAATTAAATTCTATTAATGTTCAGAAGACTTCAGTTCTAGCAACTTTCATTTTCAAGAATTTTTGGAAAAGGATTTTCTTGTAGAAGAAAAGCATTCATTTTTCATTGTCAACTGCCAAAGATTGATTATAACTTCTTTGNTAATTTGGCATCAGTCTTGGCCCTCAGCATCGGAATTTTGTAGTGAAGAAGGCAATACTACCTAACGGTTTTACTGAAGGGGCGACAATTTGTTAGAAATTGAGAAACACTGATCTATACCAACATAGTTTAAACTATTCATTCTGTTATGATTAAGATGGTATTTGATATATGAATAGTCACGAGAATAAACATTACAAAAGTACAGTATAATGGATAGTAGATTCACCTGCATGTTGTCATGTCTATGTGAAGTTATATAGTGTGTACATGAAAAAAATGAACGCATTTAAGTCATGTCTCATAATATCTAAAGATATTCCAATTTCTTTATTTTGTCTTCTTTCTAATGATGCACTTTTGTAAATCCATGAATATTTTACATGTTAATTATCTCAAATCTTTTAGAGTGAGATTGGGTTTGTTTGTAATTGGAGATTGAAAAATAACCTAGCAGGGTCAGGGTAGTAAAACTTTGACATTTGCATTGGGCTGTACCAGTAATTAACAGCTAATTGTTATATTACCCTCTAAACAAAAACATCATTTCTCTGGCATACATAAGATAAATTCATGGCTAAAAGTGACTCGCTTTTTTTCATAGCTCTCCTCTTTTTTAGCCTTTTCTGAGGCAAACTCACTTTTCTCACTTCCCACGTGGAATTCTTTTTTGTAAATGCACTCAGGTGTGAAATAGCGACCCAGCATGCCCCCATACACCACATCGTGTGACCGTGCGTGACATGATAAGGCATTGTTATCTACACATGTACCATACATGTATATAGGCTAACATAACAAGGAGCTTCCCAAGGTTTGCTGCTCTGCACATGCTGTAGGAATTTGTGCATAAGTTCTCCTTGCTTATATCCTTGTGAAATACTGATCTCCATGGCACTTTTATACAATCACATGGCACTAAGGCATACGTATTGTACACTTATAGTTCAGTGTTAAGAATGATTTTTTTGCATGGCATTATTTTTAGCATTTGTATTTATGTAAGTGCAGCGGACAAAAGAAAGAAATAGATTTTATTTAATACTAACAGTAGAAACTCATGTTTTAGCAACGGAAAATTGTATAGAATCCAATACTTTCTGAAGTAAGTTGTTAAGCAAACTTTTCCTTCCCAACAGTCTTTCTACTATTCTTCTTTAGCTTAAACGATAACATCACTTGTTCTTGACTACAGTAGATAAACCGAAAATAATAAATGTTGAATGATGATAAATTTGATTTCTACTGTTATTATTAAATAAAATGTTGTAGGACACTTGTTTAAAAGCTTGTATCTTTGTAACAATATGTAAAATTAAAGATTGAGCAAACCTCGTGCCAGAAAATACAAGATTTTAAACTTCTGCAGAGACAATCTTTAGACAAAGACAAAAGTTTGGTTTTAAGTGGGTGCTTATATATTTGGCATGCACCATGGTTTTCTGCTTTCTAATGGTCATTTTTCATTTTGACAGAAACTATAACCTAAAGTAAACCTGACTAAACCATGAGCAAGGCAAAGTGCACGATTAGGAAGGGTTGGCTTCTTAAAACTAACTCATGGTTTTGTGGTGTCATCTTGGGGATGTAGGTTGTCTGACTCTGAGCTTTTCTGCACATTGTGAGCTTCCGACGTCAGTGTATCTAGTAAAGGTTTCCATACAATCTTCCAACATTCAAGCTACAATAAAAATATAAATAAATGCTATGAAGTGTTTAATTCCAACCAGTTAAAACCCGTCATGCATGTGTTCATTCGAATGTAAATTGCCAATCCCAGCACCAAATTAAAAAATTAATTTGTAAATATTTAACGTCAAAAAACTGCTATTTTCACTTTAATCTAGCTTTGATATGTTTCTAGTCAAAAAAATATTTAATTTAATTATAATTTATTGAAGATTTTAATTTTTTAATACTAGAAGGTAATTAGCATAAATCACATGGTAACATGTTTCATCTTCGCTCCTGTTCAGATTTATTGTCCTAGACAGCGCCAACGTTTGTTTTTACTACTAAAGTTCAGGCTTTTATTTCTACCTCGACCATTGGTTACACAGTGGGGAGATGGGTGTCACGTGATTGCATACCTGACTTTTTACAAGTTTCCTTACCTTGAAAGTTTTATTTTTTTTCGATTTTATTATTAACTAACTTTTTTTGATGGATTCTTATATCTTTGTATTATCTGAAGTTGCAGATATATTTTTTAAATTAAGTTTTATGCATTTGTTTTTCTTATATTTTAAAATTCAAAAATATAGTTTAGCATTTCTGACAAAACTTAAGTATAGTGTGTTTTACATTATTATTGCAAACAGATATAGTCAATTATTTTATAAACATATTTATTATTTTAATTTTTATAAATTATTTAATTTGATGCAACGTGATGTGTTCAGAAGCAATTATTGTGGTGCATTAATTTAATTAATATGGCAGTGGGACTGGATTAAATTACTTTTTCATTTCAGATGTTTAATTAGTGTGTTACATTATGTGTAAAATTACATTAAAATATGTTTATATAGGAATAATATCTAATTATAATAGATTTATTGTGTGTCTAAATAAAACAAAGCAATTATAAAAACAAAAAGCATGAGTTGCATCTCAATTGTTTGTAAGCAAAATTTTGATTTTACTTTTTAAAAACTGAGTTTTTCATTTATATTTTCTGTAATTTGATCTGTAAATGCAAAAAACTAAACTTATCAAATAACAACTTTCTATAAATAATTTCATTTACTTACTGACTTCATATTTGTTAAATTTCACTGGATTATATTACTTTTCAACTTCAGGGTAGTAAAGCTTTGTTTATTTTCTCTGGTGAAAGTAATAGACACTGTTGGTCTGTGAAGGACAACAAACTGCTAATCATTTTATTACTTTTCATAAACTCATTTCTCTGTCAGATATGGGGTGGAATGACTAACAAATTGTTTTATTGTACTCAGGGGAATGTTTTCTTTTAGATTTGCAAGTAATGAATTCTGTAATTTTATTTTTAATCATTTAAAAAATATTGATAAAATTTCTAAATAAATGTTTGGGTCACAATTACTAAATGGTATTGCTACATAATGAACATAAATTTTAATTGTTGCAAAATTAAGTGTTAAATCTCTTATCATGCAACTGATCGGGAGACAGCGGGGGATAACACTGAAGAGAGGGAATAGCCGTTGTCAAAACAGCTGCAATGACAGGATCAATCCCAATTCATTTCAAATGTCATTGAAACCAGGAGAAAGATAGAATGTATAGCATTATGGTAAAAGTTAAATATTCTACATTGTTATTTTATTAAATCACAGTTGTTGCACATAACAATCTGGAGAGTACAGCACTCTCACGCTGCAAGAAAATTTACTGCAGATTGTGGTTAAGGTATTAGTTTTTGTAAAATTTCTCTGAGGAAAAAGGTCAAAAACTACTGTGGGAATTGCTTCAGAACATATCATTTAAGGAATACTAGAAAGGCTTGCAGTTCAACTGTTATTTATTTTTGAGAAATTTAATTTAAAAAATTCCATGTATTCGCTGGATACATACGTACCTAGATGAGAGTTAATAAACAAAAATTCTTTAACTTATATATTAGTCTCTTTGCATTTTTACATTCATAAAATTTAAAAAAAATACAAAAATTTATGACACCATGTCCCTTATAAACTATATAAAATGATTAAAAAATATCAATGGCAAAAATTAAATTATTTCCAGGTCAAATTGTAAGAACGCCGATTGGGGGGGGATTTTTATTCCCTGCCGTCGGGATGGTCTAAGGTCTTAGCGTATGTGGGTGGCGGTTTGTAAAGGCAGCAAAGACAAGTGTTTACAAAGGTAAACCGTTTATTTCGGACGAATATGCTTACACAACTTTTAGGCTTCGGTGCTGGTCTTGCGTTGTTGAGAATTCCGGCGGTGATCCGGTGCGTCGTCGTAGGGGCCCCTGGACAGTGTCGAGGAGAAAAAAAAGTTCGATGTCTCGAAAGTCGATGCACGAAAGATGAAGATACACGAATACAACAGAAGTATAGGTGGAAGTCTTGGTGGAAGTAGAAATCAAGTAGAAAAGTCNGGTAAATTTGACTCAAACTAATTTGCCAATAGTTTTATTCATAAATCAGAAATTTTTACTGCCTCCTAAGAAAATGATTTATATATTTTGCAGTTTATGAATTATTCAGCAAGCTGATTATTTTTAATCCAATATCATATATTTAAAATCTTGTTTAAATTTACATTTTCACTGTTAGATCAGTAATATATAAAATTTTAAGAAATTCAGGCTTTCCAAAACATTGAAAGAATCATGTTTAGAATTTTTATTTGTAATATACATAGTTTATACAGTAATTGTTAAATATTTTTTTTCAGATTGACGAAGATGCTGTAGATGACTTGGGCGATCAATCACGATAATGTAGATGACTTTATTTGTACAGATTTCTGGCAGATGATTTGAAAACAAATTATTAAACAGACATGAAAAAAATGCTTTGATATTCTTATTTGCAAATAAACATTTCTATAAAATTTTTTACAAAACAAGTTCCATTTGCTTAATATCTGAAAGCAATTTAGAGGCATATTCTTGACAGTTAACAGGTGTTGCTTGCATCACTGTTGTTTTTAATCTTGTTTCTTCCTATAATCATTTACACAATTTAGAAATTTTGAAAGCTATAAATATATGGATTCAGATTGTTTAAACATACTTACGTTAAAAGTTTCCAATTTTGTACGCAGACGAAAAATGAATGACTTAAAATTTGCATCTATTAGCACTTCCTTAAATTTTTCTTCATCCTGCAACAAATAACATTTATCTAAAATTTTGTTATTAACTTCTAACTTCTGTTTAAAAATTTAATGTTCAGCCTTCATAAATTCTTTTGCCCTTACATGCTCAATATCAGCAGTATTAAATTATTATTTTCCCAAAAAAATTCCTGAACTATTAAAATAAGGTCATAATAATGATTAAACAGAGATAATGGTTTGAGCTTTAACTGGAGAGAAATGACTATTTTATGGCATGTCAATTCCTTAGACAAAGCAAATTTTCTGGATCAACCACTGAGAGGAATCTTTTATATAATAGATATTTCTAAAATATTTAATTTCATAATTAATGTAACAAATATAAATTTTCTGTACTAATGATAAACATGTTTGAACCATACTAATTATTTCCAAAATTTTCTTACTGTAACATGAATTATTTTTTTTGTTCCCGAAAGAATAAGCCAGTTCAACAAAAATCAACTGAGAACTGAACAGAACAAAATTAGATTGAAAACATATCAATAGTTTAGGTTATCTCCAGGTTACAAATTCTTGACATAATTTCCATCTATTTATTACAATTGAAATAATTTGAATAATCATCTATTTTTGTGTCTATTATATTTAAATCAAATCTTGTAATTAATACAGGTCGTAATTAATCTGACACAAAGTTATTACAAAAGCAGTTCAAATCTTATCAGAAAATATACACTTACTGTTTCTTTTAAAGTGCCCAATTCTTCAGATGTAATTCCAAGCATCTTTTCTGCTACATCTTGGAAACAAGTTACCCATTGATTTTCTGAAAAATCAGCAAGACTAACCTGCAAATAAGTAGATGATTAAATAAGTAGTAACTGTTTCACTTTTACTCGTAATCATCATTATAAATATCATAATTGCAATTAATGTTTATGAACGTCTCAATCTTCAGCACAGTCTAATTTAAATTCCTTGACACACAAGAAAAGAAATTAGTCTAAATTAATTAGGTTTTTCACTATTCATAATTACTAGTATTAAGTAAATTATTGGGTTGTTCAGAAAGTAAGTTTGTTTTTTTCCGTGGAAAGAAAACAATATTTTTATAATAAATATTTTATTGAATTATATATAGACTATTTTGGTCAAATATCTGTTGTCATCGTTTCTGCTAGTAGCATGATTTTACATTCATAAAAGTTTTAATTGTTGCTTACAAAAAACTGATCCAAGTGATTTTTGACACTGTCATTTCAAGTAAATGTCTTAGTTTAAAAAAATTTGTATAGACCAGAACAAGTTATAATCCGAGTGTGCTCGATCTGGTGAATATGGTTGGTATGATAGCATGTCCCATCTAAGTTGGTAACTCCTCAGAAACTGTTATAAACTTGTGTAAAATTTGACATTATCGTGGTAAAACATAACACTTGTTTTATTGATCAATTCTGCCTGCCTTTTTTGTTTGATGATATTACTCAGTTCGTTTACTCAATGGCAGTACACTTTTGAATTGATTGTTAAATTGTCTAGTAAAAGCTCCAAAAAAATTTTCCTTAAAATCCCACCAAAGAGAGCATCTCTCTCTAACATGTGGAATCCATATATCAAGCTTTCAAACGAAACCAATTTGTTTCAAGTAATCACAAACAGTTCAATTTGACAACACATGAAATCACTAAGGGATTAAATTTGTTATTTGGCAGTTTGCTTCAATCAGTACCTTTATTTTGTTTTCATTGGCTTCAACTGGCCATCCAGAACGTGGTGCATCTTCAATATTGAAATTGCCAGAACAAAATTTTGTAAACCAGTTTTGGCACTGTCGTTCTGTCAATACATCTTCTCCATAAATGTCACACAATTTTTTCTCGCTTGAAAAACATTCTTACCTTTTCGGTAATAAAAGAGCAAAATATGCCGAAAACACTGCTTTCGATCTTCCATATTTGATGGGACACAAAAAATAAACAAAATTTTTTACAAATAAGCCTTAAAATGCTAGCTTCAAAATATATAATGATAATAAGGTTTAGAATGAAAATGGCGGGAAAAATACGACTAATCCATCTAGTGGTAAAAGAAAAACGAACTTACTTTCCAAAGAACCTAATACAACTTAAGACAGACAACAATAAAAATTTAATGTATAAATATATAATGTAATAAATTTAAAATTTTTATTATTTAAAAATTTAAAATTTTTATTTTTAAAATTTATACATTATTATACATTAAAAAAATTTAATGTATAATAATGTATAAATACAACAAAATCATTATTCTGAAATAAATTCCATTTTTTCAGAATTTTGAAAAAATAATACAATATTTCAAAAAAATGAATTAAATTCTATTAATGTTCAGAAGACTTCAGTTCTAGCAACTTTCATTTTCAAGAATTTTTGGAAAAGGATTTTCTTGTAGAAGAAAAGCATTCATTTTTCATTGTCAACTGCCAAAGATTGATTATAACTTCTTTGGCTTTGCATGCAACCTTAAAATTTTATTTATGAAAAAGAAAATTCATTTTAAAGTATGAAGTAATTGTGTCAACAGATTTTTTATTTTTTAGGTAATAATAAAACAGCATATAGCTAAAAAAAGATGCAACTACATATTTCCATATAAACCAACCAAAAAATTCTTGACATGCATTAAATGTAAAAATACAAAATATAATGCATGTTGGATTTTCATGCCACTTCAAATTGTGACAAGTTTAGAATCAATTAAATGTATAAAGTTCAAATTTATTATATTGGTAATGGAACTCCATTACCAATATATTGAATGATTCATTCCGAATATTTTTCTTTTTGTTTGTCACCTCTATCATTCATCCTTCTCTACAATTCTCATTTGACTCTTTATGGTATGTTCTGGACAGTAATTTTTCTTACCGATATTAGGTTATGAGTATCCTTCTTTTCATTACAATATCTCACCAAAAATTTGTTTTTTTTTCCCATGACTGAGAATGATTTAGTCCCACTGGGAAACACCATACTGTCGTATACAGGGTGGTTATAAATAAAGCTGCGTTACTCAGACCTGTCTAGAGCCCATTCTCATGGACATATTTTCATGAAAATATGTCCACGAGAATAGGCTCTAGATAGGTCTGAGTAGTGCAACTTTAATTATAACCACCCTGTAATTTGCTACCATGTGCTGTAAAAACCAATTGTCTTGATTTTCCATTGAATTAAGAATCTAAATAACTGAATGACAGTTTTTTAAAGCATGCTTAATAATCAGTTATTTATAACTAGCAGACTCAACCACGCGTTGCTGTGGCTCAAAATATATCTATTATAAATGTATAACACTTCCCCCGTGGGGGAATTTTGAAAAATTCCTTCTTAGTGTACATTCTCTTGATGTACCCTATTAAAACACAATCAAAAATGCAAAAAACCACATCTAAAATAGGTATAATAGAAGCTGAGTTATTCACAGTAAGCCTTAATCCTGTCCCTCTCCCCAGCGGGGGGAACTTTGACATCTAAATTATATAAAAACGTGTGAATTCAAATGCAACGTTGTGTCAAAATTTCAAAGCAATTGGTGAAGAACTTTCGGAGATTTAAGATTTTGAACAAACAAACATTACATTTTTATTTATATAGATTAATTCCTCATTAAACATTAAATTACCTTTAAAAATAATTCTAATATTTTTCTGACTAAAATGTATGTGGTAGTATCCCCGCTCTTACTACATAGTTGAATCACGAGAAAATGTCGTTAAGAGAGCGCATCTCCTGTAAGTTTAATGTCTCAAACCGAAGTTTTGTTCTCAGAAATGTCTCTTGAACTATATGGCAATAGTCAACAAAAAAAAAAAAAAAAAAAAAAAAAAAAAAAAAAAAAAAAAAAAAAAAAACCCAAAAAAAAAAAAAAAAAAAAAAAAAAAAAAAAAAAAAAAAAAAAAAAAAAAAAAAAAAAAAAAAAAAAAAAAAAAAAAAAAAAAAAAAAAAAAAAAAAAAAAAAAAAAAAAAAAAAAAAAAAAAAAAAAAAAAAAAAAAAAAAAAAAAAAAAAAAAAAAAAAAAAAAAAAAAAAAAAAAAAAAAAAAAAAAAAAAAAAAAAAAAAAAAAAAAAAAAAAAAAAAAAAAAAAAAAAAAAAAAAAAAAAAAAAAAAAAAAAAAAAAAAAAAAAAAAAAAAAAAAAAAAAAAAAAAAAAAAAAAAAAAAAAAAAAAAAAAAAAAAAAAAAAAAAAAAAAAAAAAAAAAAAAAAAAAAAAAAAAAAAAAAAAAAAAAAAAAAAAAAAAAAAAAAAAAAAAAAAAAAAAAAAANTTTTTTTTGTTTCTTCTAATTCTATGTCACGACTTGGTGCATTTATCGACCCTTGGCAAATAATTCCATCATCTACTTTTAATTCATACAGAATTCATACTTTTAACTCTGTATGAATTAAAAGTAGATGATGGAATTATTTGCCAAGTGTCGATAAATGCACCAAGTCGTGACATAGAATTAGAAGAAACAAGAAAAAGAAGGCACGGTTTCAACAAATAACTAAAACAATTTAATTAATTTTTAAACTTTTATAGCTAAATATTTCATAATTTTCTAGATGAAAAATATTTGTTAAGACACACTAGTATGAAGTTAAAATTGTGTGTGGTGCCATCTGTTGAGAGATTTCTTTAAAAAATAACTTTTTTATTATTAACTCATGGGGGAGGGAATTTCGACATGTATATTATATAAAAACACGACCATATTCAAATGGAACGTTGTGTGAAAATTTCAAAACAATCAGTGAAGAACTTCCAGAGATTAGCTATTAGGAGCAAACGAAATTACATTTTTATTTATATAGAAGATTGTATTGTATTAAATATAAGTTTTCAAAATTTCAATATAAATATTATTAATACTTTTACACTTATGCTTAATGAAAAAAATGTAGCAATTGCATCACAAGATTGAATAGCAGAGAAATTTCAAGAATTTAATTAAAAGAAGGAATTTAGATTTAAATGATCATTTGGTTATGAAAATCATTCAAATGAATTCATTACTACATTCTTTCCAAAATATAACTACTTACAATGTAATATCTATTATTAACTGTTAAAAGAATTTTTCTGTATTCAAATATTTTCTTATGATACTGACGATAATGATCATTAGTAGTCTTTATTTTAAAAATAACAGGAATACAATTTAATTTTTTGTCCAAATGTATTTATGAGGTGCTTGTAGATGATGATGATGATGATGATGATCTAAATATATAAAATTACTTGTCCTGATTGACTGACTAATTCATCATCGCCCAGAGCAAACTGCTGAACCTAGAGGTGAAATTTGTACACAGTTAGGGTACATCATGAAAACACACACTAAGAAGGGATTTTTGGAAATTCCCCCACAAGGAGAGAGGGAAAGGATTAAGGCCTAACCTAAAAAACGTTGTAATATTTTAGATGCAATTTTTTGTTTTCAATCATGTTTAGTTTTCATTGAGTACTTAGGTGTATTAAATTGATAACATTTCAACATTGTTATAAATATTTTCATATATTTCGATTTTTTAACCAAATGTTTGAACCGTTTTAAATTTGAATTTGTTATTGTGTATTGGTTCGATTATAGAATGATTGTAAACATTTGAGAAAATTGATCAAATTGAAACAGTTTGTTTTATTCTCAGTAATTCTCATCATTCTCAGCAATAGGTGTTAGTTATATAACAATTACTATGGTTGTTGAAATACTGAATATAAATAGAGTTCACTTGCAAAATCCCCATGGGCAAAGTCGTGGGTAACAGCTAGTAGTTTATATAAGAAACCATCTGACTAATTGCAAATTATCTAACTCAGAAAA